ATATGGCCCAGCCCTAGTTGGACGGATGAAATTGAATGGATAACAACCGTAAGGCTTAAAGATTGCGTTGTTGGGGCGTGGCCCAGAAACGTGCATTTCCTAACTTGTGATTTGGAGTCTCCTGTGTTTAAGACTTTTATTTGTACTCATCACCCAGTGAGTCGCTGAGGTTGATGTATTTAAAAAGTTATCCAGTCAGGGCCAACAGGGTGGATGAGATGTGACCCGAGGTCCCTAAATCTGGTTTTATGGACCACAGCTGTGTCCGTCTGTGCACGGAAGTCAGACAGCAGAGCAGTTTTCCCTCACCCAAGATGCGCTCCCTGCAGCCCTCCTGACTGCTGGTTGTTGGAATCAGATGACGTGAGCTGCTGGATGTTGATTGGCTGACAAATGGGCCGGAATAGAGCAGGGAGAGTTCCCTTGGAATGGGAGAACCGTCCCGCTTTAGCGGGATCACACTCCTCAGCCTCTATGCCAGGGTGATGGAGAGGAGAGCCCATCTGTTATTCAGGGGGAGCAATGTGCTTTTCATCCTGGTCAGGGAACGCTGGATGAGCTTATATGAGTGTCCGTTTTTCCTTCCCAACGTTGCCGAAGTGCTGCTCATAGGGGGTCATATGATTGTTGGGTTTTTCTCTCTATGTGATATTGTAGGGTCTACTTTACAGTATAAAGTGCCCTGAGGCGACTGTTGTTTTTGTAATTTGACGCTTTATAAATAAAATATAATTAAACTGAATGTTGGGCGTGTCCCTGGGAAGAGGGCTCAGGCCAGACCCAGGAAGGCCTGGGCTTCTGTGCTCAAACTGCTGGACCTGGAGCAGAAAATGGATGGAAGGAAAACTTTTACATGTATTTTTTCTTGTATTTGTGGAATGTTTGAATGTTTGAATTATGTGATGCTTTGTAAAAAATCTTGATGATTTGTGTCCTTTGTCACCCACTGTAGGCATTTGTAGATAACTACCCCCAGTTTAAGAAGATGTCGGGGACCGTGTCCAAACATGTGACGGTGGTGGGCGAGCTGTCCCGACTAGTGTCGGAGCGGCAGCTGATGGAGGTGTCGGAGGTGGAGCAGGAGTTGGCCTGTCAGAATGACCACTCGAGCGCTCAGCAGGTAAATGTCAGCTGTTCCGTCCTCCTGAGCTTCACGGGGTTTTTTGAATGTGTCATAAATGAAGGTCATTCTGGATGCGTTGTGTTGACTTCCTGTCTTCCTTTCCTGCTTGTTTGGGCCATAACACAATATCTTCTTTCAGAATGTGCGGCGACTGCTGCAAAATCCACGCGTGTCTGAGCTGGATGCCGTGCGCCTCGTCATGCTCTACGCTCTGAGGTACGAGCGCCACAGCAGCAGCATCCTGTCATCTCTGATGGACGAGCTGAGCAGAAGAGGAGTGTCTGAGCGTCACCGCAGGGTAACAGACAGCTCTCCAAACGCTCGTGCTAGGATAAAGGCTCGTACTTGACAAAGCTTCGGTCTGCAGAGGGGCGTTAGACAGGCCTGTCTGCTTTCTCCCTCACTTCCTGTCATTTTTATCGAGCCACTAGTGGCAGCAATCTGACCAAACGTGGATGTTAAAGGAGTTCATTATGCTGACGATGTGTTTCCTTAGGAACTCACGAACCTCAATATAAAGACGATCACACTTATAGATAAGTTCTCATCCATGTCAGATGTTCTGTCTCTGAGTTGTAAATACCACCAGCAGTCAGGTAACATCGGATATCCAGGTATAAATGTTTCCACCAGGCTCTCAGACCTGGTTGATCATAGAACAAGCATTATGTGTTAAAGCAAAAATCTCTCCTCTGCCCTTCATAAGCTCCAGTATTAAGCATCATAACTGCTTTAAAAGCCATAAACACCGCGCTGACCGCCTGGTAGGTGCTTACTTATCCCAGGTAAACTAACAGCCATTGGGAACAATCAGATCATTGTGGCATGAAAAGGGATAAAAAATACAAGATGTTTATTTCATTTAAAGAAGTTGTAAATTTCTAGAATATCAGCAGCTGCAACCGATAATACAGGAAAACTTTAACTACAATCAGCTGAATGGAGAAATACCTACTTGGGGAACAAAATGTTGAAATGTCTGTGCCCCCCGAGGGTTAACAACAATGTCTAAGCTATTTTTTGAAATTGATGAGCCAGTTTTCCTCCCAACTGTAACGTAGGAGCAAAATCTTTCCATCAATCCAGATCCAAACATCTGGACACGAATATGCTGAAACGTCTTCACAATGACACGTCTGACTGCTTCCCTCGGGGGCGGAGAGTAGGTGTGTAGGTGGGGGGGGCCTGGGTGCTCGCACACACACACACACCGTCTTACAACACATAACTCGCACACAGGATGTAGGGCCATTCACACGGCTTTCGTGGCTGTACTGCGCAGTAGCCCTCCCCTCCTTTTTAATTGAACTGGGACTACTGGGGGGTCCACAGCTCGACTAACACGTCCAGTGTTGCTATTTTCACAGCTGTTACAATTAGGGATGGGTATCGTTTAGGTTTTATCCGATACCGGTGCCAAATCGGTACTTTTGAAACGGTGCCGGTGCTCAAACGGTGCTCAAACCGGTGCTTAAAGAATGGAGAACACAAA